TTGCAGAGCGCGCTTCGGCTCTGCGCAAAGTCTATGCCAAGCCGTAACGGGAAGCGAAATCTTCCTTCACGAGTACTAAGGGCGACCAGAGCGCGCTTCGGCTCTAGGAAGAGTCTATGCCAAGGTGGAAAGGGAAGCGATATCTTGCAGAGCGCGCTTCGGCTCTGCGCAAAGTCTATGCCAAGCCGTAACGGGACGCGAAATCTTCCTTCACGAGTACTAAGGGCGAGCAGAGCGCGCTTCGGATCTGGGAAAAATCTATGCCAAGGTGTAGTTGGAATGGGTATCTTCCTTCCGTGCGCTGAAAGAGTAGAGCGCGCTTTGGCTCTGGGCAAAGTCTATGCCAATGTGTAACTGACATGGATATCTTCCTTTCGGTGCACCACGGGTGGGCAGAGCGCGCTTCGGCTCTATGCAGAGGTGTAAAGAGTCCACGGTAATAAAGGCATTACACAAGTCAACGGATCCTAAACATGTCTCCAAGTTCGTACAATCAACAGCTCTATCTCGTTCTCGCCGGACGATCATTGGTTCCGCCTAGTCCCTCTACCTGAAAGATTGAGACAAATGATGTCCGTCGTGAACGCCACGGATCTCTTCTATTAACCTCTCGTCCCCGCCTAGATAACGGACTAAAATGTCGGCAAATCTCATGCGAAACTTTGCAGCGCCGCTTCCACCCAGATTATTAATGATGGTGATCATACCGGAGGCGTCCGTCACCGGCGTATCGTTCTGACCGCGCCCAAAGAATCTTGCTGTTGATATGTTCAGGCGTGTCCCTTCGTGTTCAAATCGTTTCGATAGATCGGCCCAGGTTTTCCTGGCATTGACCGTACCTGTGATGGCCGTGATAACATCAAAGATACTGATCTTTGGTGGCGTATCATCAGTCCGTCTGATGGATGCGCCACGAAACTCCCCAAATAAAGAATTGAGTACCAGGTCCGTATGTCCCTGCTGGACGTTGGCTACGTGTCCACGAGGAACACTGAAAACCTGTGGTCTTGGAAGGATCTGTTGTGTTTGTAGGCGGAGGCCAAGATAGACGCCAGTGCTCTTTCTTTCCGGACCGTAAAGTCTAAATGCTAGAGCGTAGCCTGCCGCCTCCATGGCTCCGGGCAGACCTTTTGGAACGCTTGTTCCTCCATTCCAATCCATGAACGCATCTCTGAGGTCGCGGCGCGCGACGACCAACCCCTCGCCGGTGACGCAGCGCGCCGTAATAAATTCTTGAAGCTTGTTCGGGTACATTCTGATTATGAGAGACTCTGAGAAGTATCCGTCGCATTTGTACGAACCAGGCTGGACTTTCCGACGAAGTGTCTCATCGAAACGTAATCGAAGCCCTTTGAGCACAATCCCTCCAGACAAGTGGCGACGAACAGTTCCCCGCAATATTTTCGCCGCACAACGCATGAAATATGTCTGCTGGCGCGGGCGCTTCACCGGATATGCCGACGACAAGATGGCCGGACAGATGGCGCTCGCATCCATACTGATTCCGACGACGGGAGACACCGTCGCGGTCCGCATCTTGCTGACGCTGTGGTACTTCTCGGAGTTCGCATGCGTGGCGGTAGGCCTCTTCTACTCATCCAAATGGTTGATCAAACATCCCACGGATCATCGTCAATACGGCGAGGCGGTGTGTCTTTTCATGTTCTTACTGATAATCTTCGCCCTGGCGACCACCGAACTGGTTGCGAACATCAGAGCTCTGGCTCGACCTAAACCTGCCCCGAAGTCCGCAGTAGTCAAGACCGCGTGACCACCTCGTTCTATCTCACGTCGAATCCAAGTCTGCTTGTTCACCGCGGCTCCCACTCGTTCCTATTCAGCAGATGCCATACCGTGAGTCGGCACGTGCGGCCGGGTCTCTGCGCTCGTCCGACGACCTGTCTCTCGGTGTGCTCGTCCATCTTGTGCAGCATGATCACGTCGGTCGTGGTTTCGATGTTCAGGCCACACGCGAAGAGCGACGAGTCCACCATCAGAACCTTGACCTTCCCTCGCTTGAAGTCGCGCACCACGCCGTCGATGACCGCATGAGACCCTCCCTCCAGATCCGCATAGGGCACGCCGCGCGAGCGGAATTCGGCCTGGATCTTACGGTAGATCCTGACGTGCTTGGAAAAGAGGAGGATCTTTGCCGCCGGACCGGACTTCTCCACGATCTCCAGCAAGCAATCCAGCTTGTTCGGCCCCTCTTCCGCCTCCTTCCGGGGTGCTTCCAGCTCTGCCGTCCGCAGGCTGCCCGAAATCCTCGCCCCGCAGACCGGACACTCGGACGGCGGCTTCGCACCGCAGGCTTCGCAAAACGCATGGTCGCAGGGAGCGACCAGCCGCCGCGAGATCGGGCCGTCGAAGCAGGCGACGCAGAGGCCGCACTCCGCTGCGCGCTCCATGATGGTGCGGATCAGAGACCCGGCGGCTCCCAACTTGTCGACGCACTCCCGTATCTCATTCTCGTAGACCTCGCGCTGGGTGCCCTCGTTTCCGAAGCTCTCCGTCGTGTGCCGCTCCAGGGCGCTCTTGCAGAGCTCGATCCTGTCGGAGTTCGCCTCGCGCGATTGCCTGGTGTACTCGAGCAACGCGATGATGAGCTCCTTCTCGTCGATGACGGTCGGGGCGCTCTTGTGGAAGAAGTCGAGCGCGTTGAGGCGTTCTCGGGCACCCTCCGACGCTCCCACCGCGGGAATCAGCACCCTTTCCAGGAGCAGGGACGCGCAGTGCTTTTCCACGACGAGAGGCTCTTCCAGGTCGAAGCTCGAAGCTACGAAGCGGTCGTCGCACTGACAGACGACCTTAAACCTGTTCCCCCGCCAGTTCTTCGGCATCGGGGGGAAATGCTCGACCAGGTCGCAATCTCCCGAGACGAACCAGGTCTTCTCAGCCGGGACGAAGGCGTACATCACGTGCAGTGCCAAGGCTTCGTCCAGAACCACGCGAGGCACGGAGGCGTGCGCGCTCTTCAGAGCTCTGGCCACGCTGGAGCAGAGGATGCTCGGCGCGAGGATGATGTCGCGCTGCTGGGAGATCTCGCAGATGTCGTCGACGTCACCATAGGCCAGCTGATACACGCTCAGCGAGTTTCCGATGAAGTCGCGGATGCTCTCGTTCCACTGCGTGAGAATGTGGTGCGGCACGAATATGATGGTGGCTTCGATCTTCCCGCCGAGCGCCTGCTTCCGAGCCAGTAGGTATCCCAGGATCGCATACGTCTTCCCCGAGCCCGGCTTGTCGTTCATCACCAGGACGTCGGAGGTCTCCTCAATCTCGCCGCATCTCCGTATCATCGCCAGTTGGTGCGGCTTGAGGGTCACCTCGTCCGTCGTGAGTACGGGGTGAAGGGCTCGCGGAGACGAGGCGGTGAGGAGAACGGAATCCATACCCGGTGCTCCCTTCGGACCACCTTTTTTTGGGCGTCCCCTGAACGTGCGTTCGAAGGGCTGCTCGACGAACGCGGCTGAGCGAAAATGTGGACGGAACATAGACGGAAGAGGTCATGGGTAAGAAGCTGGGGCGCGTCCTGGCCTGCGCGGCCGCGACGTCTGTCTTCGGCGCCTTCCTGAGCCTCCTCGTATACAGCGCGGCGTGGTCTCCCTCCCTGCGAGCGCAGCTCTCGCTCGTCGATTCTTTCGAGACGGAGGTACTGCAGAACATTCAGCGCGAACTCAGGCGCACCTTCGACGACTCTAGAGTGGCCGTTGCGGGCTGCGCTCTGGCGTTGGCGGCGACTCTGGAGGTCGCTCCGGAAAAGTTGGAGGGCGTTCGTCCGGTCCTGTGGGGCACTCTCAGGGGTAATGATCGCTTCAGCAGCGCCGGATTCCAGGCCGAATCCAACGCGTCGGTCAGCTTCGTGCGGACCGGGGGGAACTACAGCGAGTACCGCAGGATGACGCCGGGCTCGCCCACCCTGACGGCTTTTCTGGTGAGGGACGACCGGGCAGCGGCCGTCGCCGACCCCGCGTCCGACGTAACGGTGCCCCCTCTGAAGAATCGGGCTTGGTACGTCGAGGCGGTCGCGCAGCGTGGCACCGTCATCATCTCTCACTACTTCAGCGTGCTGGGCGCCCCCGTCGTCACGATCAGCACCACCGTGACCGACTCCTCTTCGGTGCTGCTGGGAGCAGTCAACGTGGGACTCTCCGTCTCGAGCATCGCGCGGAAGTCCGCTGCCACCGGGGACTACGCCGTGTACGTCGTGAGCGGCGCGAACGCGACTCTCATCTCCTCCAGCCGCTCTCAGAACGCGACGGGCGAGTGGACCTCCGCGAGAGACAGCCCAGACCCGCTCGTGTCGGGGAGCGCGAGGCGCCTCCAAAAGGAGCTCGACGGCGGATCGGACCACCGAGGGCTCATAACCGTGGACGGGCGGCGCTACGTAGCGGGAGTGCAGAGACTGGATGCCGACTTCGACGTCACTGCGGTGGTCTTGCTGCCTTGGGACCGCTTCTTCTCCCGGTTGGAGCGGAGCAAGCGCCTCACCACGGGTACGTCCATCGCTTCGATTGCGCTGTGCGTCGTAGTAGCGGTCATCATCGGCGCTTGCTTCTTCAGGATATGGAGCCGCGAGCGATCGCGCCTGGCCGAGGCCCAGCACGACGCGAGCATGCACCGAAAGAAGCAGCAGCTGCTGGCGAGCCTCAGTCACGAACTGAGGACTCCCATGGCCGTAGTCATGGGTCTTTTGGAGGAGATGCAAGCAGATTCGGGCGGCGAAGCTTTCGAAGAGAACCTCGCGCTATTGCGGAAGACGGCGGAAGACATGCTGCACCTGTTGGACGGCATACTGATGCTGGCCAAGAACGAGGCAGGAAAGTCGAACGTGGAGGCGCAAGATTTCAAGCTGCGCGCGGAGTTGGAACGGGCGCTCGCCGGGATCGGTCCTCTCGTGAGCCAAAAAGAGGTGCGGACGTGGCTTCGCTACGGAGACGGATTGACGGAAGACGTGATCGGCGACAGA